GGCCCCCGCTGCCCGTGCGTCTTTGCTCCTTTGCCCCGGAGCAAAGCCGCACAGGCGGCGGGGTCCCCCGCCTCTGCGGCTTTGCTCCTGTCTCCCTGCTGTGCTGGGGGGGACTCCGGAGCAGCTTTTCTCGCCCCGGGAGACCCAGAGCAGCTTTTCTCGTAATACCGACCAGACATCGAGCTGTTGATCACCACCCATTGAGTTCGACAATCTAGCCAACTTTCTATCCACCTTACAGTCCATTTATCTAATCCTTACTTCCTTAACTTGCTGGAAAGAAATATAAAAATAAAAAATCAGGAGACCAAAAAATGCCATCATGGTTAAACAGCAAAGTAACGGGCAGATAGAGGCAAAAGGCATCCTTTGAAAACTGGAACTCACATCCTACTTTACCCGGAGGATACCTGATGTAGCACCAAAGCAATCCTGTCAGTTACAGATGAGTAAGTCTAATTTTGATACCAGGCAAATTGGGTTGATACTACAGTAAAGAACACAATTATCAAACCCAAAGATGAACAAAATATGTTAGGGAACAGTCAACATGGCTTTTTTAAAGGGAAACCATGCATCACCAATATACCACAATTATTTTAGGGGACCAAGAAGATTGTGGACAAGGGTGATCCTGCTGACACAGTATACTTGGACAAGAACCAGGGGTCCCCCAATGAAATTAATAGGTAGCCAGTTTAAAACAAACATAAGGAAGAATTTCTGTATCCAGTGTACTGTCAACTTGTGAAACACATTGTCAGATGATGTTATGAAGACCAAAAATAAAACTGAGGTAACCCCCGCCCTCCCAAGAATTAGAAAATGTCACCCATCAATGGCTATTAGTCAAGATGGTCAGAGATGCAATTCCATACTCTGGATATCACTAAACCTTCAATTACTAGAAACTGAGACTAGAGGACAGGGATAAACACTCTGTTCTGTTCATTCTCTCTGAAGCATCTGGCATGGCCACTATCAGAAAACAGGATTCTGAGCTAGATGGACCCCTGGTCTGACCTAAAATGGCCATTCTTATGGATCTCTCCAGTCCTCATAATCACAAAACAGTAAAAGGAGATGGATTCTCTCTCAGGATTGCAGGAGTTTCTGAGGGAGAGGCTGAGTTTGTTATGTGTTGTGAGCACTAGCCATGTTTCTGTTGTGTATGATTTGGTTTTGTTATTTGTTGTTATTTGCTTTAATGGTGTTATTGGTTCCCCATCCCCTTTTCCTTGCAGGGACTAGGGGAGGGAGGTTTTTCTGCTTCAGAGGGGTTTAGCAGTTTGATGCACAAGCATATTTGTTGCATGCTGCTGTCTCTTGCACTGTGGAGGATGTGTTGTGGAGTGTAGGTAAGGTTACTGGCTGTGCTAATATAAAATCTGTCTCTTGAATGAGCAAATTTACAGAGATTTTCTTGGCCCAAGAGTAGTTTGTCTATTGTTTGGTACAGGAAGGACTCTGGACAAAGGAGGCTTTTCTTCAAGTTTTTCCCTTGTTTATGCCCGCTTCCAAAGTAGATTTTTCCAATGTCTCCCATTCCTTCACAATGAGACACCAGTGTCTCATCTCTCTCGTTATGGGAGGTATTTCCTGCTATTAGGATGATTCCATGAGCCTGCAAGAACCCAAATATGGGGCATTACAGCACCAGGGTTCTAAATACCCTGGACAGCCCTTGAACTAGGTTTTAAAGCACCACATAGATGGGGCAGATTTTATTGTATTTGCTACCTTTGAAAACATGAAATGTTTTGTGTGGTGACCCTGATCCTGGCCTGTTGGCTTGGGAGCCCCTGCTAAGAATGTGGAACCTTGGGATGGTGGGGGGCAGTGTTGGGACATCCAAGGGGACAGCAGGAGACAGAGCGTAAATGTGCATTGCCAGATTTTGTGTTCCCTCACTACTGCTGTACATTGTTTGCCATTCCCCAGAGAAAAGCACTCCCCATATTCTCTCTTGTGATTCCTTCATGTGACCTGGACAGAAGTTAGTCCTGGAGTATGGGGTGCCCCTCCTTGCAGAGGAAGCAGAGAGAGATTCTAGAGATGGGGGTGAAAAACAGATCAATGACATGGATTTATGCCTATTTCTAAAAGAGCTAAGACTTTGCTGGCCCCTGACTTGCAGGAAGTCGATGAGGATAGAGCTGTGTGCTCTGTGAAGAACAGTGTTGGGTAAGCACTACCAATTGGCATTCCCTGTGAGATACTGTTCTCTGCAGATTTGGTGAGTCCTCAAACCTGGGCCTGTATGCTTGTAGGGATGATGCTGGATCCCAGCCTGGGGCTGCGCTGCTCTTGGGAAAACAGATGTGGTACCTGATCACACAGAACTCTCCTTTTTGAGGATATGTCTATGCTGCAGAGGTTTTTTTCAGAAAAATGGCCATTTTTCTGAAAAAAACTTCACTTATGTC